CAGGAGGCTGAGCGTGGTGGTGCCTTCCTGTGATCCTCGCACTTGGAAGTAGAAGCAGGAGGATCAGGAGATCAAGGCCAACCTCGGCTACATAGTGAATTCAAGGCATGCCTGGGCTACGTGAGACCCTGTCTCAAAACATACATACATACATGCATTCATGCATGCATGCATGCATAGAGAAACAGAGGCAGAGAGATGCTTGTGGGAGTAAAACCAAACACTTTTAGTCGGTAGACTGTACAGCAAGTGAGGTAGGGCAGCCTAGCTAAAATAGGAGCATGGAAATACTTGCTTCTGTCTGGAATGTGTGTACTGCTTAGTGGCTGCTGGAGCAGCGCATCTGGACATGAATCCTGCTGGAAGCAACAAGGTTTGAGAAGCAGTCTCATCATCTATCTTTAGATCCCCAGTAGGCAGGCACTTGCTAATTTTGAGCTGTTTCAATATAACCTTTCTTCACTGTTGATAAAAGGAATACTTGAGCAATTAAGTAATGATACAGCTTAAGAATGACATGCAGCAGATTCTTCAAAATGATAGGCCATGTGGGGACCCAGTCATCTTTGTGATTATTTTTCCTAGCCCTATAGAGAATGTTAAATTACATGTAATTGAGTAAGAAAGTGATTTTCTAGCATTGATGGAACATTTTTTGTTAGTAATGATGCAGGTTTTGTTTTGAAATGTTGAGGTGTAAGTTGTATGTGCATATACATATGAAAGCTGAAGATTCTCATCCATGGCAATCCTCAGCTTGGTTTTCACATTAAATTTCTACTAGGTAACACTGATGAAGATTGCCTGCCAGTGCAAACAGTCAGATTGGTGTGAAAAACAGATGATAGCAGGCTGAGAAGAAACAGATATTTCGTGTGTGTGTGTGTGTGTGTGTGTGTGTGTGTGTGTGTATGTGTGTGTACGTGTGCTTGAGCTTGTGGATGGTGGAAGTCACCCTTAGGTGTCCTTCCTCAGGACATCCACCTTGTTTTTTGAGACAGGGTCTTTCGTTGGCCTGAGTTCCCCATCTAGACTAGGGTGGCCAGTGAGCTCAGTGATCCTCCTGTGCCTGCCTTCCCCCTGTTGGGATTGCAGTCCTGTGCTGCCACTCCCAGCTGTTTGTTTTGTTTTTTACATTGGTGCTGAGGGTTGCACTCAAGCCCTCATACTTACATAAGCAAGCACTTTACATTCTGAGTTAGCTCCCTGGCCCCTTTTAGCCTTTATTTATTTTTTAAATATTATTTTTATTTTGTGTACACATGTGTTGCCTGCATGTAGGTATGTGCACCCATGTCGTGCAGTGCCCTCGGAGGACAGAAGAGGCTGCCAGATCCCCTGGAACTGGAGTTATGGACAGTTGTTAGCTACCGTGTGGTAGCTGTCGTGCTGGGATTGGAACCCGGGTCTTCTGCAAGAACAGCCAGTGTTCTTAACTGCTGAGCCATCTCTCCAGCCCCCCACCCTTTTAGCCTTTATATCCTGACCTTGAGACATTGTATTCCCATGATAGAGCTGTCCAATTAATTTCTCTTTTCCTTTAGTTGAAAGCAGCTTTCCAAACAGGCATTGAAAAAAAAAATGGATAGACCTTCATTAACACAAATATCTTAGAGAAAATATTTCTCAAGGTCTTTCTCTTTTTAGATGTTTTGAATTGTGACATGAAGGGATATTATGTCTGTGTAGGGGCAGGAAATCCAAATTACTGCTGTCTTCTGCTTGATTATGTGAGTCATAAGTTGAGTCAGCTGCTTTTGTACCAATAAAGGAAAAATAAAGCCTTTTTATAGTGTTCTTGAACTGAGCTCTTTGGAGATGTGTTTCCTTTTGTATCTTAGTACCTTGCCCAATGTCTAGCTCATATAAACTGCTACTTGTCAGATAAATGAATGAATAGCTAACCTTCCTGAAGGGCTTTTATTCTACAGTGTCATCTTGATGTTCTGGTAATTTGATATATATAATTTTATAGCAATTTAAAATATGAACCATGGATTTAAATTTCTTGTCTGAGAAACCATGCATACTCTAAAACTGACAATGGGGTGACCTCGTTGCCTCCATCAGCCCACGGCAAGAGAGCTGGTTTTTGTGCTGTAGAAAAATGAAGAGATTACCTAATGAATTATATTGCTAAAGAAAAAAATATAATAGTTCAAGTTTTAAATTTTCTTAAAATTATTTTTTTTATTTTATATGTATGAATATTTTGCCAGGAAGAATGTAAGTGCACCCATGTTTTGAAATGCCCACAGAGGTCAAAAGAGGACATTGGAGCCCCTGGAACTGGAGTTCAGGAAGATTGTTAGTCTCCATATGGGTGCTAGGAACTGAACCTGGGTCTTCTGGAAGAGCAGCCAATGCTCTTAACCGCTGAGACATTTCTGTAGCTCCACGTTAAAGGTTTTTTTGTTTTTGTTTTTGTTTTCTATCTTTTGAGGCAGGGTCTCTCTGTAGCCCCAGCTGTCCTGGAAGTCACTATGTAGACCAGGCTGGCCTTGAACTCACAGTGGTTCTCCTGCCTGTGCCTCCCCAGGGCTGGGATTAAAAGTGTGCACCACCATTCCTGGCCAAGTTCAAGTTTTTAAAAGTCTTAAGTTTTTTAAGTCTCAATGTCAAAGGCATGTTTCTATTTTAAAATATTTAAAAAGAAACAGAGGACTGAAGCTGTAGCTCAGTTGGTGGAGTGCTTGCTTAGTATGCATGAAACCCTGGGTTTGACTCCCACTGAAGTGGGTATGGTGGAGACGGAGGCAGGATCAGAAGCTCAAGGGTCATCCTTGGCTGCATAACAATCAAGACCAGCCTGGGTGGGATACATGAGACTGTCTCAGAGACAGAGACAAGCTTTCTTTTGGCCTCAAGAGCAGGAATGCTAGACCTCTGGAGAACTGAGCACAAGCACCACTACGCTGCTCCTGTGACCTGAGCCAAGCCACTCACTTTGGAGAAACCTGTTTCTCCAATGGTAAAATTAAATTATAAAGGACCCTTGCGATGTTTATCAGTGTGTACAGTACACTTAGGCAGATAGAAATGCTCACCAGTGTTCTATGCATCACAGCTTTTTGCCTCTTTGCTTTTTGCTTTATGTTGATTTTTTCCAATTATGTTTGAAAAGTTTCTAGCTGCTTTTTAAAGAATGTTCTGTCAGGCATGATGTTATGCATCTGTAATCCTAGCACTTGAGAGTCAGAGGCAGGAGCATTATCAGTTCAAAGCCAGCTGGGACTCTGTAGCCAACCCTATCTTAAAAATAAATAAATAAGGTTCACTGCATGTGTGTGTGTGTGTGTGTGTGTGTGTGTGTGTGTGTGTGTGTGTGTATCTTACTCCCAGTCCAAGTCTGTGTGCTATAGTTAAATCTTGTCTACACAAGATCAGATTCTTTAAGAGTAAGGTGTATGTTTGTATTTTTCTTAGCGCTGACTACAAGATTTGGTACATGGTGTTTAGTGGAGCAATTGTTAGATTGTTCATTGACTAATTGACTTCTGTCTGGAATAGATTGTGTCATTTTAATCAAATGGTAGTGCTATTTTAGGACTTAATATTTAGCCTAGCAATGTAGTTGGGATATTTGGAAGTAATTATTTGGCATTTAAGTGCTAAAGATTGGATTATCATTACTACAGGCTAATTGAGCAGTGAGTCCAAGTACCAGATTGTAACAAGTGTTTTCAGTCATCTCTGTATACTTGATTTCAGCAACTTTTAAAGCCTTACATATAAGTGAATATTGTTTGCTTCCTTCTCACCTTAGTTATCATCTAACAGTATAAAAGTTTCATCTTTTATGCTGATATCCCTCAAAATTTTACAGCTGATTGCTTAAATGTAATTTATTTTTACTTTTTAGTCATTATATTAATGGAGTAAATCACGATGGCGTGCACTGAGAACCTTAGATGTCAGTTATTAGCTCTTTAGTTTGCTGCCTGGTCTAAATTCTTAACAACAGAGCTACTGCTCTTTTTCAAATTTCTATAGTGAGGAAACTAAAGTTTACAAGTAAGGGTAACTGGCCTCCTCAGAACTAGGAAGCTCTGATCCAGTATTTGAACAGGCATTAGATGCTTAATATGCATTTCATAAATTAAATTTAATGCAAGTAAAAATTCTGTTCGGTTTTCAGGTCTGACATTTTATTGGAACTGTGTTCATGCTTTAATTTAATTTTGAGGTAATAACAGTACCTTAATTCTGTCACTGTAGTCACTTGAAAAATAATTTTATTGCTTTCAGTAAATTTTTTTGTTGTTGTTTTTTTGTTTTTTTGGTCTTTTTGAGACAGGGTCTCTCTGTAGCCCCAGCTATCTTGGAACTCACTATGTAGACCAGGCTGGCCTTGAACTCACAGAGATCCGCCTGCCTCTGCCTCCTGAGTGCTGGGATTAAAGGCATGCGCCACCATACCCGGCCACTTTCAGTAAATTCTAAGCCAAAACAAATAACATGAACAGTGCAAACCTACCTGAGGTTTTAATTCCTTGTTGCATATTTTAGTGAACATGTTTTAATTTGAGAAGATGATCTCAAATGTAAGAAATCAGTATCAGAAAAGGGTTTTGAAGTAGGTATTTGTCCTGTTTCAGAATTCAGGGTGTTTGTGCATGTGTGCGTATCTTCTCTTGAGACAGCGTCTCATGTAGCCCAGGCTGGCCTCAGACTTGGGTAAGTAGCCAAGGCCGGCCTTGAACTTTGAATCCTTTGGGCTCTATCTCCCAAGTGCTGTGATTACAGGCATGTGTTACCATGCTCAGCTTAATTTTTTCAATGCACTTTTATAGTTTGATTTAAATGTAGATCTACTTGATGTCCAATATTTTAAGATTCGAATAACTTGTACACAATTTTACTAGTACATAGATTTGGAAATTCAGTAGGTCATACGGTTCCTGGTTATTACTGTATATCACACAATCTCGATGTTACAGCCTGAAATCAATTGTGTTCATCCCTAATATTAACACTATGCCCTCTCTCTCTCTCAACAGGTAAATCGGCAAACTGGGAAGATGATGGTTGGGGAGCATGGGAAGAGACAGAATCCCAGGAACTCGTGAGTCTTTATGACGAGTTCTTTTTAATCTGTGTGGAGTCAGAGGGCAATGTTCTGCAGTCAGTGTCAGTTTTTTTCTTCCATCTTCAAAATATTTGAGACTTTGTAATGTTAAAAAAAAAAGTTATTGGCTGTGATCCTGGAGGCCCAGAGCAAGGGCACAGATCAAGGGCTTGGCATGAGATAACAGCATGCTTGTTATAACATGGCATGGCAGAAGATGAATGAGAGAGAGGAGGGAAGAGGAGGAGGAGGAGGAGGAGAGAGAGAGAGAGAGAGAGAGAGAGAGAGAGAGAGAGAGAGAGAGCGTGTGTTTTTACAATATGTTTTTTTTTTTTTTTA